TGGGGCGGGCAATACATTCCGGGGCGCAGATGGATTGCTGGACTTTCGCGCGCGTGCAGTACATTTAGTTGCAATACACTGCGATACACATTTCCTGCGCAATGCATCTGCAATGCAATTGCCCCAAATCGAATCCACCACCCGCTTGCAGCTGGATCTCCTCCTGGGTCGCCCAAACTCTCGGAGCCCTCCGATTGGGACGGCTCTTCGAGGCCTCTTGGGACGTCTTGGGCGCTCTTTCGGCCGACGGGAGACCATCTTGGGCGCCTTGGCCTTGTCCTGCGGATTTTGGGGGCCCTCTTGGACTCGGAAGCCAGGCGAAGGCTGGCAAACCCGTGGCTGCTAAAGCGGGGCTCCGGGAAATTATTTTTTCCTGCCGGGAAGCAGCCCGTTTACTATTGAGTGCGATGAGTTTGATTCCGGGAATGTTTTTTTGTTCTCTTATGGTAAAACCGTTTTCGCAGCCACGGATTTGCCAGCCCTCGCCCAGCTTCTGATGGACCGTCTTGGGGCCCTCTTGGGCCAGCTGCCCTACCCCAGGGAATCTCCGGCAGTCTCCGGGAATCCCTTCGGGAATCCCGTGGGATCTCCGAGAGTCCCCGGGAATCCTTGTGAAGCCGGTGGTCTCCCTTTCTCAGGGCATGTGGGTCTTTCTGGGAAGGGGCGCCCACAGGCCGGGGCGCAGTGGACATGGAGACACATCGGGCCTGCAGGGGCAAAGGATATGAATATATCCATGGATATGGATATATCCATGGCGTCCATCCTTACACATCCATGGATATGGATATACATATATATATATGTATATACACATACATATATATACACACATATATGTATGTATAAGGATGGATTTATCCTGGATAAACATATGGATATGGATATATCCATCTCCATGGCGACGCTGGTATCGGAGGAGGGGGGCCCGAGACTCCGATGCGCAGGGGATGGATCGAAGCCTTGCCCGCATCCGAGGGGACGTGGTGGCACGCCAGAGAGCGTGCCTCGGGGCACGGCGGCGGGTACGAGGCTTCTGGAGGCGTGGCCGCAGGAGAGAAAAACCATACATTACGGCGACAATCTCGGGCCGGGCGAGAGGGGGGGATTGGGAAAGGGGGGGTCACGAAATTTGCTGCATGCAGCTGGTTTCGGCCCCACCGAGGGGGCCATTCCTCGATGCATAGCCGCCTCCGGCGCCGGGAGGCGCCGGGAAAATCAGCTACGTGAGCTGATTCTCAAACCCCCCCTTTGCTATCCCCCCCTTTCGCCCGACCCGACAATCTTGGCAAGCAGCGGGGCGCAATGAAGGCGTCGCACGACGGGTTTTCCAGTGGTTGGTTCGATTCGTACGACTGGGTTGTCCGCATGAACCCTGACGTTGTCATACATAGCGAGTCGAAGCTGTTCTCCAAGATGGACAATTCGGCCAACTGGGGTGTGTTTGCCAGCTGCGATTCTAGTACTGCGTGTCGAGACCGTTCAGGGTGCATAGCACACCTACGCGGAAGACAGACGCATACAGATTTCTATGCTGTCCGACCTGGCCGTATTGGGAAGAACGCATTCGCGAACTGGGCAAGTTCGGATAATGCAGAAAGACAAGCAACATCAGCATTCGCGCAGATATTCAATGCTAAGGCGGATGCATACATCGTGGAGCGAAACATGGATGGGTATTGCAGAGTTCGTGGCGGCGGTTTGTGGCACACGAGGGCGATGTGCCCTGACCTCTTGGTGGTCCAACCGTGGATGCCTGGGACTTGCAAGAACAAGTCCAGTGGGCGATGCGAACAGTACCGCAATATCATGTGGGAAGCAGGATGCAAGTGCCCAAAGGCTGGCAGCACAAACGTGAGCACCGCGCCTGCACAGCGGCCTAGAGCCAATTCAACAGACTTGAGCGTTGCGGTCTACATCACGACTGCCGGGTCCGAGCAGCACATTGGTTTCTTGGAGTGCCAGGCGGACCTATTTCGACAGTTGCCCAGGCTTTCGAAAGCGGATGTCATCATGTACGTGACTCCGTTGACAAATGTGTCAGTTGCGATGAAGGAGATGTTCACGAAGCTTTTGGAGGCGTGGCCACAGGAGAGAAAAACAATTTATTACGGCGACAATCTAGGTAAGCAGAAGGGTGCAATGAAGGCTTCGCATGACGGATTTTCTAGTGGTTGGTTCGATTCGTACGATTGGGTTATCCGCATCAATCCTGACGTTGTCATACATAGCGAGTCGAAGCTGTTCTCCAAGATGGACAATTCGGCCAACTGGGGTGTGTTTGCCAGCTGCGATTCTAGTACTGCGTGTCGAGACCGTTCAGGGTGCATAGCACACCTACGCGGAAGACAGACGCATACAGATTTCTATGCTGTCCGACCTGGCCGTATTGGGAAGAACGCATTCGCGAACTGGGCAAGTTCGGATAATGCAGAAAGACAAGCAACATCAGCATTCGCGCAGATATTCAATGCTAAGGCGGATGCATACATCGTGGAGCGAAACATGGATGGGTATTGCAGAGTTCGTGGCGGCGGTTTGTGGCACACGAGGGCGATGTGCCCTGACCTCTTGGCGGTCCAACCGTGGATGCCTGGGACTTGCAAGAACAAGTCCAGTGGGCGATGCGAACAGTACCGCAATATCATGTGGGAAGCAGGATGCAAGTGCCCAAAGGCTGGCAGCACAAACGTGAGCACCGCGCCTGCACAGCGGCCTAGAGCCAATTCAACAGACTTGAGCGTTGCGGTCTACATCACGACTGCCGGGTCCGAGCAGCACATTGGTTTCTTGGAGTGCCAGGCGGACCTATTTCGACAGTTGCCCAGGCTTTCGAAAGCGGATGTCATCATGTACGTGACTCCGTTGACAAATGTGTCAGTTGCGATGAAGGAGATGTTCACGAAGCTTTTGGAGGCGTGGCCACAGGAGAGAAAAACAATTTATTACGGCGACAATCTAGGTAAGCAGAAGGGTGCAATGAAGGCTTCGCATGACGGATTTTCTAGTGGTTGGTTTGATTCGTACGATTGGGTTATCCGCATCAATCCTGACGTTGTCATACATAGCGAGTCGAAGCTGTTCTCTAAGATGGACAATTCGGCCAACTGGGGTGTGTTCGCCAGCTGCGATTCTAGTACTGCGTGTCGAGACCGTTCGGGGTGCATAGCACACCTACGCGGAAGACAGACGCATACAGATTTCTATGCTGTCCGACCTGGCCGTATTGGGAAGAACGCATTCGCGAACTGGGCAAGTTCGGATAATGCAGAAAGACAAGCAACATCAGCATTCGCGCAGATATTCAATGCTAAGGCGGATGCATACATCGTGGAGCGAAACAGGGATGCGTATTGCAGAGTTCGTGGCGGCGGTGTGTGGCACTCGACGGGGTCATGCCCTGACCTCTTGGCGCTTCAGCCATGGACGCCCGGGGTTTGTAAGAACAAGTCCCTGGGAACATGCGGCCAGTACCGCTCGGCGAAGGATGGAAGATGGAAGATCCTGTGGGAAGCCGGGTGCGCGTGCCGGTAGCAGCCTGGTGACGGTGATGCTACTGAGGCGGTCTCCCAGGGCCAGGTGCTGATCCTGGAGTGTCTTGGAGGGTCGGGGCTTCTCGCGGCTTCTGGCCTGTCAGGCTGCGGGGCAGCTGTTTCTTCCTCAGGGACAGGGGGCGTGTTGCTCATAATTCTTACCTTTGTGCGTGTGTGCGTGTGTGTGTGTGTGTGCGTGCGTGCGTGCGTGCGTGCGTGCGTGCGTGCGTGCGTGCGTGCGTGCGTGCGTGCGTGCGTGCGTGCGTGTGTAAGTGTGTGTGTGTGTGTTTGGTGTGTGTGTGTGTGTGTGCGTGTGTGTGATTGTGTGTGCGTTTTCAGTGTGTGTGTGTGTGTGCGGGGGGAGACGATGTCTTTGACGCTGAATGCAGAAGCTCTTCGCTACACGTTCCACATCGGGGCGCCGCGGTGCTTTCTTCTCTTTCCGCCATGAGAAGCGCGCCTTGGCGCGGTGCGGGTGACTCGTTCTGCTGCCGAACAGAGAAAAAAACGGCCCGCTGGCCCGAAGCACATCCGAATGACCGGCCAGTGGGGTCAACGCTCCGTGCGGGGGCCCCCGCACGAGACGGGGAGCTTCGCCCGGTCCATATGGGGCAGTCCCAGGCCACGCGGCCGCGGCGGTGATCCAGCTGCCAGTGGACGCCGTCGATGCACCGACACCGAGCCTGGCCAGGGTCGATCCTGGGATCAGGTTCAGTGTGTGGGCCCTGGCGCGGGCAGGGCAGAAATAGAATCGGGGGGATGATTCTTGGGAGCATCTCGGACCACGTGTGTCTGCTGTGGAACTCTTCGCCCAGCGTCCCCCCTGTACAGTGCCGTTTTTAGTACATGCTTCGCGTGCGGATGTATAAAAAATGCAGGGGTTGATCATTAAAAACAACGAGCGAGCCATGCAGTCAAAGCAGTGGCGAAGCGGCCTGGCTCGCCTCCTATAGGCCCACCAGAGAATGTTCCAAGAACGCTCTTGTGGTCTGCACGGGATGTTCTTAGGACATTTCTGGCTGGGGCTGTCCTGTGTTAACACCTCGGTCTTATGTTATGAGAACATTGTCCTTGCTCTTTGAACATGTGTGGGCTCTCAGAGCATTCCCTGGAAGCCCCACAGGCATGCCGCGACGCTCGGCCCCTGCTCGAGTGCGGTGCCAGAGACCAGCGCCAGCGTCATCGCGACGCGAACCCGCCTCGGGCGCCATCGAAGGGCACCCCTCGGCTCCCCGGATCCTTGCCGCTCGGCGCACGGCCGCATGCCGCGCCAGCCTCGGCGACGGTGTGTAAAAGAGGATGGTGCTGAGGAGGAGGAGGAGAAAGAGGACGGGGAGGACGGGGAGGAGAAGGAGGAGGAGGAGGAGGAGGAGGAGGAGGAGCAACAGGAGCAGTCTGGTTAGCCAGGTCGGACGAGTCAGCGGGCCCCACCCATCCCCCGAGTTTGCACAACCAAGCGGCCCCGAGTTTGTCTGGGACGGCCGGAAGCTGGCGCGTGCCTCAGCCGTGCCGCGCGGGCGCGCAGAGGGGGGGCGTCGGGCGAGGGTGCCTCCCGGCGGCTCCCGGCGGCGAGGCGCCGCGGTGCAGCCTGGTGCTGTGCGGGGGGGGGGCGGGGCTCCTTTCGATCCCTCCGGGTCGGTCCGTTTCGATGTCGATGGCCTCCGATGTCGATGCGATGCGGCTTCTCCCGGCCGGGCTGGTTCGGCCGACCCGATTCGTGTCGATCGCCGGTCCGGCTTGTCGATTCGATTCTGGGCTCTCCTGGGGGGGAGGGCGGGGAAGACGGGACGATGAGTCTATAGGCTCGGGCGAGGGGATCTATATCCGGCCACTGCTCCAGGCCAGGCCCTTCCTGAGCCCAAACAGCGTTGCAGGTGCCTCTCTGGCCAAGAGCCAGAAGAGGCACGGATGCGGGGCCCAGTATTGGGCGTGGCCAGGAGCAGTGGATATGTATGGATCTCGTCGCCCTACATCAAGGGAGGAAAGATCAACCCGACCCGATAATTGGCATTTGCTACACGGCCCTGGGCGTTTACTAAACAGCCCTGTCCGATTCTCTTTTTTGGGGTGCGTTTACTAAACGGCTTTGCGTGCCGGGGTGAGTCTTATGAGAGTGGATGTTCTGCTCTCTACTGTAGTCCTCCCAGACGAGGTCGGAGTAGATGGGGTCGGTTTCTCGCACCGCCTCGCCGCTGCATCGCCAATGCTTCGGCGATGCGGCTCGATGTGGAGCCCGATGCTCTCCACGCCGACGTCGACGGTGCATCGTCGGTGCATCGCCAGCGCATCGGCGCTACATCGGCGCTGCGGTGCAATCCTCCGACCCCATCTTTTCGGACCGCGCCTGGGGTGATAGGCCTGCTTTCCACCACCACCACCATAAGTTGGAAGGGGAAGGAGGTGGAGGAGGAGGAGGAGGAGGAGGAGGAGGAGGAGGAGGAGGAGGACCCCCTCCCACTCCAACTTATGGTGGTCGTGGTGGTGGAAAACAGGCCCATCATGGGGGGCCTCGAGTGAGGAGGAGGAGGATCGGGGGCGCGCCCGGGGAGGGGGAAAGTGAGAGGGAGCAGGCCTTCCGAGAAGGCGGCGGGGCCCTCCTCCTCCTCCTCCTCCTCCTTCTCCTCCTCCCTCCTCCACCCTCCTCCTCCTCTCTCCTCCTCCTCCTCCTCCTCCTCCTCCTCCTCCCTCCTCCTCCCTGTCCTCCTCCTCCTCCTCCTCCTCCTCCTTCTCCCATTCGTCCTTCTCCTGCTCCTCCTCTTCCTCCTCCTCCTCCTCCTCCTCCTCCTCCTCTTCCAAGCGTCGCCGAAGGCCAGGCGCCGTCCGAGCCTTCTGACAAGGCGCTCGCCCCCTGCCATCCGGGAGGACGGTGCCGCGCTGTGCAGGCCACCTCGCCCAGGGTCGGGTGGTTGTCCGTGTGTGCCCACGACGCAGGGTGTCCCCCCCCCCTCCCCATCAGGCAGGCTGACCCAGGCACCCCGTGTTGGGCAACCAGCGCGGCAGCAACCGGGACCGGGCATGCGTCTCGGCGAAGTGCGCAGGGTCCCAGAAGGCATGTGAATGTGCATCCCTAGACACACACGTATGTATTAGCATACATGTAAAGGTTACATCGGCAAATGCATCGGCACTCATATCAACGTGTGCGCACGCGTTGTAGGCCTTCTGAGCCGTCCCTGGGCTTGGGGATCCACTCCCCCCCATCTCCAGCTACCTTCGCCCGAACCCATGCCATCCTCCCTCCTCTTCTGGCCATCCCGCCCTTCTCCCTTCCTCGCCCCCGTTGCCCTCGCCCTCTCCGCGCGCGCGCCTGGGGAGCACTGCCCCCGCGCGTCCTCGGCCCGCCTCCCGCTCGCCCGCCTTCGCGGTGTGCCCCGCCCGCCCGCCTGCCGCCAGAGACTTCCGCGCATGGACGCGGCGGCTTGGGGCCGCGTGCTGGCCGCGTTCGAGGCCGAGGCCGGCGACGCGCCCTCGCAGGACGGCCTCGAGGCCTGGGAGGTGTGCCTGCTGGCGCGAGCGGCCGCGCAGGAGCGCGCGCTCGGGAAGCAGATCCGCACGGCACGTGCTCCTCCTCCTCCTCCTCCTCCTTCTCCCCTCCTCCTCCTCCGCCCCCTCCTCCTCCTCCTCCTCCTCCTCCTCCTCCTCCTCCTCCTCCTCCTCCTCCTCCTCCTCCTCCTCCCCTCAAAGGCTCCCCCTTTCCTTGGCAGGGCCCGCCGCCGCGGCGGCGACCCCAGCGGGGGCGTCGAAGGTTCGCCGCCTGTGGCCCGGCATCGGCCGCTATATCTCGGGCGACCTACGCCGTCGGAGCACCGCGATCGTGCAAGGTCGAACGCTGCACGTGGCGTCAGCAACCAACGCCGCCGGCGTCGTCGCGACGTGGCCCTGCCGTGCCCAGGCATGCTCGTGCGTCGTGCAACAAGAAGCACGCCGGCAGGCGTTTGGCCGTGTTCTGCCTCCCGAGGGGGCCCCCGCTGGGCCCTAGGACAGTCAAACGACTGGATGGAAGACCCGTCCTGGGGAGTGGGAAGGCACCTCTGGGGGCCTCGTATCGACAGACGCAAATCTGGCAGTGCCCACATCACATGTCTGGCAGTGTCCTGGGAGTGGGAAGGGACCTCTGGGGATCGATGCGTCACATGTATGGCAGTGCCCACCACGGCCTCGCCCCGCGCAGAGCGCATCCGTGCGACAGCGTATCCACAGGCATCGCGCCCCGCAGTCCAGGCCGCGGGGGCGTTGTATATGGTTAAGTCGGGCCTGTCACTCTATAGAAGGGAATATTCAAAAAGAGTGAAATTATTCACTGCGTGGAGCTCCCCATCTGCGCATTTATTCGCATGGACCTGTCCGCCGTGAATGACTATGCGCACGAGTTGTTTCCAATATAAACGGGCTTGAGTTGTGACGGTCTGGTCATGAATCTAACTGCGAATGAATTGGAGTGTGAATGAGCCTCAGTAGTACGAGCGCGTCTCTACGCATGAGCCTGGGGCCTCCTTGGGCCTCCTGAAACCTACTGGGGCCTCCAGGAGCCTCTTGGGGCCTCCTGGGGCCTCCTGGTACCTCCTAGGGGGGATTCGTGCCCCAGGAGAGGCCCAATCTATAGAAACAGACGTACATAAAACATCGCGGATTGGAGCCACAGGAGAAGGGCAATCTATAGGAACACACGTAAAACACCAAGGACCTTTGCCCCAGGAGAGGCCCAATAGATAGGAGCATCAGTAAAACATTTAGTATTGTGTACACAGGAGAAGGACCGTGTATAGAAACATACGTATAACATCAAGGACTCGTGCTCCAGGTGAGGCCCAATCTATAGGAGCATACGTAAAACACATGGGATTGGAGCCACTCCTGTTGCCTTCTGAGGCCTCCTGCTCCTGGTGCCTCTCGGGGCCTCCTGTTGCCTTCCGAGGCCTCCAGTTCCTGTGGCCTCCTGGAGCCTCCTGTGGCTTCCTGCGCCCTCCTTGAGCTTCCTGGGGCCTCCTGTAGCCTCTTGGGACACTTTGTGGCCTCTTGAGTCTTTCTGTGGCCTCCTGATGCCTCCTGGGACCTCATGTGGCCTCCTGGAGCCTCCTGGAGCCTGTTGGAGCCCCCTGTGGCATCCTGAGGAGAATCTGTGCCCACGAGTCTGGCCACCAAAACAGGCAAACCGATCGAGACATCCTCAAAATCTGGCCCACCTGGGGGTGACAATGAGCGCCTCGTTCGAGACATCCTCAAAATATGTTCCGAAAACGGAGGATCTTGAGGACCAACACAGGCAAACCGCCTGAGACATCCCCGCCATGTGGGCGCGAACGGAGGTCGTGCAATACCCCTGGCGGCCCCCCCTTCGGAGTGCTAAAACCAGCAAGCCGCTCGAGAAATCCTCATCATCTGCTCATCATCATCATCATCATCATCATCATCATCATCATCATCATCATCATCATCATCATCATCATCATCATCATCATCATCATCATTTTCATCATCATCATCATCATCATCATCATCATCATCATCATCATCATCATCATATTCATCATATTCATCATACTCATCATCACCATCATCATTTTCATCATCATCATCATCATCATTTTCATCATCATCATCATCATCCTCATCCTCATCCTCATCATCATCATCATCATCATCATCATCATCAGCATCAGCATCATCATCATCATCATCATCACCATACTCATCCATCATTCACCATCTCTCACCATACCATGGTCATCATCATGACAATCATCAGCATTGTCTAGTGCAGAGAGGGATGAGGGGAGGGGCAGAGAGGGAGATGGGATGGGTGGTCCGGCGCGGTCGGAGAATAACAAGAACCCCATCCTCTGGATATGGGGAAAATAGTCTGGGGACGATTTCCGACTAATCTTAACTATTTCTATTATTTGCTAAATACTTTTTAATGTATTTTTCGTCCCAAATCCGGCTGTAGGGGGACACGCCCGACTCAAATGTATGGACGCGCCCTCCGCTCGCGAGGAGCTGGGGCTGCAGGGCAAGGAGCGCAAGCGGCTGCAGGGAGCGCTGCTGCGCTCCTGCCAGGGCGCCGCCCTCGCCGACTGCAGAGGCCACCTGCTCGAGCGCTTCCCGGCGCCGGGCGCGGGCGGCGCACCCGCGGCGGCCGCCGCCGGGCGCAGCCGCTCTCGGTCGGGCCGCCGCGGCCGAGGCCCCGACGCCGCCGCGGGGGGCCGCGGGCAGATCGCGGCGCCCGCGTGCCTGGGGCCTCCCGCCTTCTTCCCTGTGGGCAACGCCGCAGGCCGGCATGCGCCGCTGTCGCGCGGGCTGGCGGCCCCCGCGCCGCGCCTGCTGCTCGTGGGCCTGTCGGACCCGCGCCACCTGCTGGCCGCGCTCCGTGAGCTGCCCGCGGCCCAGCTGCCCCGATGCGTCCGTCTGGGGTTAAGTCGGGCCTGTCCCTCTACAGGAGGGATGTTCAAAAATAGTCAAAAAATAGTCAGGGGAGGATTTGTTGAGTATTT